CATGAGGCTTCTTTCTAGGATGACTTCTTTTATGTTTTCCAAGAGAGCTGAGCCAACTGAAGACGTTCCCACATTCATAAGGTTTCTCACCAGAGTGTGTTTTTTCCTGACTTCTAAGAGAAGTGGAACTGAAAACTATTCCAGATTTCTTACATTGATAGGGCTTTTCTGCAGTGTGTCTTTCATTTTCTCCAGAGTACTTGAAAGAACTGAAAGCTTTGCCACATTGCTTACTTTGACACGGTTTCTCTCCACTATGAGTATTTTTGTGAAGTTTAAAGTAAGTGAGATGACTAAAGCCTTTTCCATATTGCTCACACTCATTCGGTATCCCAGGAATATGTGTTCTTTCATGATTTCTAAGGGAAGTTGAATAGTGAAAAGTTTTCTTGCAGTGGCTGCCTTCATGACTCTGAATATGTTGGTGAGGCTTGAAAGCTTTCTCAGCTTCCTTATATTTATAACGTTTTTCTTCATATTCCTGACACAGGTACAGTTTGGGTCCAATGTGAGAGCTCAGGTGGTTATTCAAGGATAAATAATGTATGAAGATTTGCCTACACAACCTGGATTTAGGTTGTTTTATTTCAGGAATTTCCTTCTTTTCATTATTATTGGGGATCTGGCTGAAGTTTTCTCTGCATTGACTACCATCCTTCCTTGTATAGAGTCTCTCTACCATATGACTGCTGTAAAAATCAGAAACATATTATTAATACACTGTAAATGATTTAATATTTATTAATAGCATGACAATGACATTTTTACCATTTTCAAAGAAAGGGTAGGGTTCCTGAACATTCCATTTTTTAACGTGGATATCTTAAAACTTCTGTTATAGGCTGGATAACTAATATTATGAAAACACTCATATTCATTAATGGTACTTCTTTATATTGTTTCCAAGTGTATTTTTAAAGGGGAGAATCATGATTTTTATTTTTATTTTTTAAAATATATTTTATTGATTTTTTTTATAGAGAGGAAGCGAGAGGGATAGAGAGTGAGAAACATTGATGAGAGAGAAGCATCTATCAGCTGCCTCCTGCATGCCATCCCCTAGGTATGTGCCCGCTACCAAGGTACATGCCCTTGGCCGGAATCGAACCTGGGACCCTTGAGTCCGCAGGCTGACGTTCTATCCACTGAGCCAAACCGGTTAGGGCGTGTAATTATTTTTTATACACTAAACATGTAGGTCATATTTCTGAAAAAAACATTTTGATGAGATTATTCTGAAAATCAATACATTTAAAACTGGGCTAATACCATTGGATTATCTGTTTTTAAGATTCTTTTGTGTTGCCCTAACTGGTTTGGCTCAGTGGATAGAGCGTCTGCCTGCGGACAGAAAGGTTCCAGGTTCAATTCTGGTCAAGGGCATGTACCTTGGTTGCAGGCACATCCCCAGTTGGGGGTGTGCAGGAGGCAGCTAATCGATGTTTCTAACTCTCTATCCCTCTCCCTTCCACTCTGTAAAAACATCAATAAAATATATTTTTTTTAAAAAAGATTCTTTTGTGGACCGGGCCCATATGGCTCAGTGGTTCAGGATGGACCCATGTACCAGGGGCTTGCCTGTTCAATTCCCCGAAAGGGAGCATGGCCAGATTGCAGATTTATTAAACCCAGTACAGGGCATGCAGGAGGCAGTCTATTGACTTTTTTATTTCTCATTCTCACCTCCATACTCAAAAATCAATAAAAACATATTTTTGCATCACTAGCGAGGCTCAGTGGTCTAAACCAATTTCTGGTCAGAGCACATTCCCAGGTTCTGGACATGATTCCAAATGTAGGGCATGCAGGAGGCAGCCATCAATAATTCTCTCTCATCATTGATATTTCTTTCTCTTTCTCCCTCTTCCTAACTCTCTGAAATAAATGTTAAAAATATTAAATGTATAAATAAATAAAATATATAAAAACCTATGTTAAAAAAAACACTAAGATGCTCTTAACGCTTTGTCATAAATAATTTTATGAATTATTTAAAGGTCAATGCGACTCACCTAAGATGCATCCAATGATTTTCATACTGATCTTCACTGTCATGGTCGTCACATTGTTCTTCTAAAATACATGCTAGAAAAAGCATTATAAACTATTAAAGAATATAAAAAATGGTTAGATTTTAGGTATACAATGAGCTGTGATCATTCCTGGTTTAATTACCAATGTACTCCCTTTTCCATATTTTCTAATTGCCTAAATACCAAGTTGTTAAAGGCCATAGTTGCCCTGTGGTTGACCATCAACATATGAACTGGTATGAACCGGAAGGTCACAGGTCAATTTAAAGTAGGACCGGTTTCCAGGCTAGATCCCCAGTGTGATGCTCGCACCAGGTACCCAGTCAGTGATTCTCTCTAATCATTGACTTTGCTGTAGTTCTCTCTATCCTTCCTCTCTAAAATCAGTAAAAATATACTAAAAAAAAAAAGAATTTGTGATACCTACCTACTGATGCCAGGTTCCAGAAGGTTTCCAGCATCACATCTGTGTAGAGTTTCTTCTGGGTGGGATCCAGGAAAGCCCACTCCTCCTTGGTGAACTCCACATTAACATCCTCAAAGGCCACTGAGTCCTAAAACATCCCACATATACATATAAGAGAATGGGTGAGACAGACAACACTGGGGACCTACAAATAATTCATAGAAAGTTCACATAGAACACGTGGTCACCAACATTTAGTGTATCACTTGATTGTAAGACTATTATTAATTTGCCAAATTCATTTCCTCAAGAACATGTGGAATTTATTGATATGATTTTACTTTGATCACTTCAACTCTTCATTGATCTCTAATGTCAGAGTAAAAAACACCTTGAACAACTTCTATATTAATAAGTTAAAATACTTCTGTTTTAAGCCCATTGATTCCTAGTGAGAAAACTCATCTCCATTATAACCACCATTTGATGCAGCAGTCCATAAAACATATTGTCATAGTTGCATAAAGTTTTAGTGACTTTGAATACAATAAAGGCCTGGTAGCTTTCTCTTCTATTCTCATCACCAAACAGGAGAGGCCAGGCGGTGTGTGGAAATTCAAATTAGAACAAAATGTACTTGGCCATATTTCCTGAAGTACTCAAAATTATGAGAAATAGTCAGATACACCTGAATGAATGAAAATATTCTTGTAGAGGAGTATGAATAATCATTTCTTTTTATATTATTTTTTAGTAACTCAGTTTGACCTTCTTTTGCCTCTCTCATTTAATAGAGATAGGATGTTCAGTTAGAGGTCAGGCATGAGCAAGATAGGGCAACTTAGCCCTCTACAAAAGTCCTCTACTCATGAGCCTAAGGGTTACTTCATACTGATTTTTAGGACACATAGACACGTATATTAAAATCCTAAGATCATACTCAAAAGAAGTCTTTCTGGCAGAATTGTGACACTATAACCAGGGCCTGGCCCTTAAGGAACAATTTAAGACTTGGCATGTACAAGGGCCTTTATTGATATCTGCAATATTTTCATGTTGAAATTAGTTTCACCCGAAACTAATACAAAATAAAATTAAATGTAAACTGTAATTGGAATGTAAAATATAAATAGAAGCATATATGGTGTTTATGGAGAGGAAAAATCAATATAATTAAAATGTCCATACTACCCAAAGCAATCTATAGCTTCAATGCAATTCTATCAATATACCCAAGATAGATCTCACATAACTCGAACAAATATTCAAAAATTTTATATAGACCACAAAACACCCTGAATAGCAACAGCAATCTTGAGAAAGAAGAACAAATGTGGATGAATCACACTACCTAATATCCAACCGTACTACAAGGCTATAGTAATCAAAACAGCATGGTCCTGGCCTAAAAACAGCATATAAATCAGTGGAACAGAACAGAGAACCCAGATACAAACCCATGCCTTTATGGTCACAGAATAGTAGAAAAAGGAAGCAAGAATACACAATAAAGTAAAGGTAGTATCCTGTATAATAAAAGGCTAATATGGAAATTACCACTGGGAGTTTGACCAATCGGGATTTCAACGGCTCGCTATGATGTACACTGACCACCAGGTGGGTGGCACAAAACATGGCAGGCTTCCGCAATGTGGTGCTAGTAGTGGGCGGCAGTGGAGGCGGTGCTGGCCCTGATGGGCCCTGATCAGACTGGGACTGCTACGGGATTGTGCAGATGAGCGGTCGGTGCCAGTCCAAGGTGGATGCGAGTGGGGTCCCCGAAAACCCCTCCTGTCGCTCCACAGATGGGGACAGGCCAATATGGTGGGGGGCGGTGCCAGCGAGGGGGCAGCACCAGGCCAATGTGGGTGGGAGCAGGGCTGATGGCCCCACTGTTTGCACCACAAATGGCAACAAAATACAAGAGTGCTTAAACAGTTGTGAAAAGCAAATGGTGCCTTGGTTACAAGGAAACACTTAAAGGGCCTTTTGGAGACTATTATAACTTATAACCCTTGCTTCCCTGATGCTAGAACATTAGACCTTGATCTATAGGAATAAGAAGGTAGGAATTGAAAGAGAAATCAGGCCCAGGGAAAACAAGTGCCTTTGTCATCGTTAATTATGTGGGCTCTTGTTGAAGCTGCACTATGCCTACTTCATATTGAGAATCAAAAGCCTACAGAAGACCAGCAGGATTTATCACCACCCCCTCCTCCTGCAGTAGAGCCTGTAAAGCCGGTAATACCGAAGGCCCCTGATCCTCCGCCTCCAGTGTGGGAAGGCTCATCAATCAAATCCTCAGTTATGGGATCATGTGTCAGGCAAGCTATGTTAGGAGAGGTTTTGACTTGCCCATTTATGCAAGATGTAAGGTAATTGGATACATGAACCCCTCTCCTTTAATACCTTTAAAGAAATAAGGAAAAGTATGAGAGAAAATGGGCCATTTACAAAAGGACTCCTCATGCCTTGTCTGAAAATTACCATAAAATGCTTTGGGACTGGCAGATTTTGGCTAAAAGAACTCTGGACTCCAGTCAATATTTAATTTTGAGAGCAAAATATGATGAGATGTGTGAATAACAGGCTGTTTGTGGGTGTTTACTGGCAACCCCACCTGGGAGTCCTCTGGACCACATTCTGGCTGTAAGCCCCGGGCACTGTAACACATCGGAAAGTTCCATGAAAAGGACTCTGGTTCATTAAGTCTTGTCTGTGGGTTATTCGCGCCTGTAAAAATTGTCCATAGAGTGTCTCTGTTGATCATTGTTTCTTGTCTTTGTTGTTTGGTTTGGTTTGTTTAAGGATAGGGCATATTTTACGTTGCTAGAGGCACCAGCTACCTGTGGTAGGCTGAACATGTGGCAGGGATTGCAGGAGCTTCCCAGCAGGGGCCAAGAATTCTTATCTTGGGGACCCTTCCTGCTCTCCCTCTCAAGTCATCAGCCATTATCTAGTGAAAGTCATTATCTAGTGCCCTAACCATTTTGGCTCAGTGGATAGAGCGTCAGCCTGCGGACTGAAAGGTCCCAGGTTCGATTCCGGTCAAGGGCATGTACCTTGGTTGCGGGCACATCCTCAGTAAGGGGTGTGCAGGAGGCAGGTGATCAATGTTTCTCTCTCATCGATGTTTCTAACTCTCTATCCCTCTCCCTTCCTCTCTGTAAAAAATCAATAAAATATATTTTTTAAAAAAGAAAGTCATTATCTAGTGAAAGTTCTTCTCTGTCTCTAATGCAGCGGTTCTCAACCTGTGGGTCGTGACCCCTTTAGGGGTCAAATGACCCTTTCATAGGGGTCACCTAAGCCCATCGGAAAGCACATATATAATTACATATTGTTTTTGTGATTAATCACTATGCTTTAATTATGTTCAATTTGTAACATTGACATTGGGGGTCACCACAACATGAGGAACTGTATTAAAGGGTCGCAGCATTAGGAAGGTTGAGAACCACTGCTCTAATGTAACTTGGTTATTGAGGTTTTTTGCTTGTTTTCTTATCTTTGGGGGACACTTTGCTGTTTTAGGAACACAGGGAATCCTCTGTCTCTACTGTTTGGCCTTTGTGCCACTCAGAACCCATTTGCTGTGATGGGTCAGTGTGAGATAAGATTCTAAGGCTAATGTCCCAGTCCAAATGTTTTATGAGTACTCATTTATTTACTGTAGGGATTTTTCTGTTTCTGTTTTTAACATCTCTTCTTCTTCTTTTTAAAAAATACCTTTTTATTTATTTCAGAGAGGAAAGGAGAGAGAGAGAGACAGAAACATCATTGATAAGAGGGAATCGTTGGTTGGCTGCCTCCTGCACGTTGGACTGTGCCCACAACTCAGGCATGTGCCCTTGACTGGAATCAAACCTGGGACTCTTTGGTCCACAGGCTGACGCTCCATTCAATGAGCCTAACTGGCTAGGACAATATCTCTTCTTACAGGTAAGATTTCATGTTGTTAGACTACTCAGAAAGAAAAAATATGGGAAATAATTATTTAAACCCTCAAGTCTTTTTCACAGGAGGATTAGACCCATAGAAGTGCCTTCCAGCAGGCTGCAGAAATAGCAGTGGAGGGCCACTCCCACTTTTGTAAATAGAAAAAAATACATTACAGCCACTAAAGGCCAGTGAGTTATCCCTGTTACAAAATTTCCCAAGAAAATGCCTTGTGTAATAATACTTGGCTTTAAAATCTCACTACTTTGTTAAGGCAAAATAAGTACAACTAAAATGAAGGGTATATGATAAAGCTTTATCCTGGGTAATTATATATATGCCTAAACAGTTTTCCAAAGTCTTTGGTAACGTAAAACTTTGAAGTTTGCTGGATTAAACAGTAAATTATTAAATATCTAGGTATTTTGAAATAACAGGATACTGAAATATTAATCTGAATTTGCCTCATATGGAGAATCTAAAGGATAAATTTGAATCTGTTAATAAATAAGTCTTGAATTTTATTTGAAGCAACTCTTAAAATATGAATGTATTGCTCATCTGAGGAATGTTAATTACTTACATGCTACCTAAAAATTAAGATTTTTAAGGGTTAAGAATTCTAACTAATTGGAAAGGAAGTATGGCTTTGGTGTAATGGAAGGCATGAGGCACGGAGATGCATTTTGAAGGAAAAAGAAAGTGGAATCTAAAACTGGTTACTTCTGAGTTGTAAGGTATCTGAAGAAAGATTTGTGAAAGTGGTAGAAAGTCTGTGGAAGTTGTGGGATTTTGTGATGAGAAATGTTGAAAGGAAATTGTATAAATGACACAGGCCAGTATTGTCCTGGCTAACTGGCAAAATAAATAGTGAAACTGAGATGGTTAAACAGCGATTTAGAGCCATCTAGTAAATGGAGCAGACTGGAGCTGTGTGAGCAGAAGCCAGGATTGGGGACTCAGAGGGTAGAGATCAGAAGACAGACATCCCCAGATTCCTGGGCAGACATCCCGTTTCATTCCCTCACACAGCAGAGGACATCTTTCCCACACAGACATTTGCCTTGTATGGAGGAAAGGCGGTTGACACACCCTACTAGAAAACACCTCACCGTGAGGCCACGTAGACTAAAAATTATAATTAGCCTCCAGGCAGAAGCAACTGCCCCATCCTGCTGAAAAAAACCTCTCGCCATAACTC